GTTTCCATTTTTTTTTCTCATAATTTTTCCTTTCCCTTCTTTCTTTTCCCCTACTCCTCCCACTTCCCCAATCTCTTATCAGTAATATGTACCCTGCAGGCACATTAAAGAGAAAAGTCAATTCATTTTACCCAGAGAAAGTGTCTGGACCACATCCGCTCTCTCTTCCAAGCCTCTGCACAAACTCTCCCTCATGCCCTGATTCCCCTCCCTCACCACCCACTCCAAATCTAAATGAAGAATCCCCCACAGGACCCTTATGTCTCAGTTTAAGTGTACTTCCTTTGAGACACTGGGGCAGGCCCTGGTACTTGCTTCCTGGAAAGTATTCTCCCATGCTTACTAGCAAAATTCGCCTTTTCTTTAGGCAGCAATGTGCTCGGCCCTTGAGGATGGCAGGTGGTAGGCCTAAGACAGTCTGTTCACTTTTACAATGACTAAGTGTTCTAAGACTAGACAGACACATACACCCAAGCATCTCCTGGGCACTCCAATGGGCATCTTATGTCCAGCAGAGAAGTGCTCCTCTCCTTGCAGCTGCTCTTCCTCAGCACACAAGGATCCTGATGTCCCAGATCCCGGGCAGAAATCCAGGACTCATCATACCATCACTGCTTCTCATACCCTGCAACCTATCTTTGAAATTTATCCTTGAATTTAACCAATCCTTACCACTCCTCTACCCTCCAGCCCAGTTCAAACAACTGTCACCTCTCAGACCACTGCTGGGACCTCACAATTCATTTCCCACTCTTTCACTAGTCCTCCTACCACTGACTCTTCACCACACGTGTACGGATCACATCATAGTCCTGCCTGCTCACTCACCACTGGCTGCCTGCCCCACTCAGGTCTTATGTGGCCAGCTTCCAGCTGTATCACTGAGCTCCTACCTTGACTCCGCCCCTTCCCCACTCTGTTTCAGCCATGCTGGCCTTCTTCAAGCTTCTAAACATGTCAACCATGGCCACACATGAAGGCTGGAATGTCCTTCATCCATGTCTCCACAGGCGTGGCTCCCTCTTCCATCCTTCAGCACTCAATCCAACAGCCTTCTCCAACTACTCTATGCCTGCACCTGAGCATCCTCTCTACAGCTTTCTGTTGTCCTCTTTCTTTCTTTCCTTCATTGCATCTACCATTACCTGACATGTTATATATTTACCTATTATGAGTCTTCCTCAATAGAAAATAAGTTCCATGCAGTTGTGTGTATCAGTTATAGATGTTACATGCCCTTACTACTGGCCAGGTTGGTAGCTAGCCAACATCATTTATCACCCAATCAACCAAGTGTGGGGGGATCTTGCCGTGTTGCCCAGGCTGGTCTTGAACTCCTAGGCTCAAGAGATCTTCTCAGCTTCTTGAGTAGCTAGGACTACAGGTGTGTGCCACTAATCCTGGCTTATATACACATATTAACTTAATTATCTAAGAAGGAAGTTTACCTATCTTTTTTATAGTGTACACTCCATTTCTACAATAGTGCCTGGCATGTGGTTTTTACTGGCAAATAGATTTTTTTTAATTTTTTGTTGCTGGGATTCAAAACCATGGCCTTGCTCATGCTAGTGAAGTGCTCTACCACTGAGCTGCATCCTCAGCCCGTTTTTAAATAAGCAGATGATATATGTGACCCAGTTGTGACCAGTGAGATGGTGAGGAAATACACTATGGTCTTCTGGAAGGAATTTTCCCTCCAAAAAACTCAAGAGCTGCTTGAGAATAAAAGAAAGGACCTCCTTTGCTTCTTTGCATGGTCTGATGTGAGGAGATGACGTCCAGAGCTGCAGCTGTCACAGGCTGAGTCCAGACCCAACAGGTAATGATGGCAGAGCAGAAGGATGGATGGGACAGCCTGGAGCTTGTACACACCATGCCGGCTCTCTCCCAGATCACCTATCTGGAATCCTTGCTAAGTGAAATCTAAATGTCCTAAGTCACTGTTCATTAAGTTGTCTCCTGCTTACAGCCAGAAGTATGCAAACGGACACATTCTGCATTTATTAACTTAAATTGTGCTTGTCATTTGCCTGTCTCCTTACCTAACTGTGAGTGTCACAGGGATAGAGGTGATCTGTTATTGACCATCTCCCAGGGATGTATTCGAGCACCTAATGAAGACTGGGGTGCCTGAAATATGTGTTCAAGGAGCCACCCACTGCTCTCACTTCTGCCTGCCCAAGTTCCTGAGAACAAAAATTAAACAAGGACCCAATTCCTGTCTTCCTGAGCCACTAGAGGTACCGTTAGCATTGGATCCTGCATCTGCCAGGTCTCACAATGCTAAGCCATATCTGAAAGATGAACTCTTCCTCGAGCTCTATCTAAATCAAACAGACATGTTTTCAGATTTCAGTTTAAAAGATCTTCTAGTGACATTTAACATGGTTGGTCACTGCCTCCTTTTTAAAACTCGGTTCCATAAAACTGCAGTTTGAGATTTTTTTCTTAACTTCCTCGTAACATCTGCACTTCCTTTAGAAGTTCATCTTTCGGTATTCTCCATACAATTTCAAAGTCTAATGCTAAATGTTCTTCTCTTACCATCGTATACTTCTTGCAAAATAACCTTGAACATGGCTTCAGCTGTTACCTTCATGCCCATACATCTGTATCTCTTAACCCATCTTCTCCTCTGAGGTTGGATACACACATGCAAATGCCTATATTTAATATGGAGATATGGATGATGTCTCAAAACCGTATGAATCTCAACCTTTCTGGAACTGAATTTATTATGTGGTCTGAATAATCAGGGGTCTGATGAGGATATCAGAAATCTATCTCAAACTAGTTTTAAAACAGAAAAGAAAAGATACTGACTCAAGTAACTAGAACTTGGAAAGAGCTGAGTGTGAGCATGCCTGAATTCGGGAATATGAAAAACAAAAGGTTTCTCTCCCTCCATCTCTCATGTCTGTTTATCTCTACCTAACTCCTTCCTCTCCAACTGCAAACCAGCTTTCTCTACAGGAAAGAAAATGACCAGAAATAGCCCTGGCACTGTATCCTTGCTGCCCCAGGACTCCACAGGCATGGACCGCTCCCCTTCAGCTCCACCTTGAAAAGTCTGTGAGAAAGGAATCTCGCTGTTCAAGACTTGACACCAAGCCAATACCTGTACCACCCCATGGCCCACAGTGCACGGCCACGGGTCAGCAGGGCTCTCTGCAGGAAGATCGAGCCAAAGCCACACGGTAGATTAACAGCTCGGAAAGAAGCAGAACAGGGTGTGCCGCACAGGCTGCCCTCTGCCTGTCCCAGACCTTTTCCTCTCCTGCGGCCCCTGTGCTGGTGAATGTGGTCCTCATCCTCCCACGCCAGCGTACAAGCCAAAAGCCCGGGAGCGCCCACTCACTTCCTTCCCTCCGACCCCCCAAAGGCAAGCCAACACCATATTCTTTGAATTTTACCTCCCTGACGTCACTCAAAGTCTCCTACTTCAGGGGTAGGGTGCTTCTCGGTGACTCTGCCTAGCATACACGGGGCCTCCGGTTCAATCCCCAACACCACCTTCAAACCAAATGTTTAAGTCACTCACTTCTTTCCATTTTCATTGCCATCTTCCCAGCGTGAGCCACTGGAAACTTATTTCCAAGAATCCCCAATATATATTCACTATTCTCTCTCCAATCCATTCCTTTCACAACACCCAGAATGATAGCTCCAAGCTCTGTGACTGTGGACAAGTTATTCACTATCTCTAAACAGGAATTTCCACATCTGTAAAATGGGGTAATAATGGAACCATCTCATCGGGCCCTGTAGGGATGAAACTCACAAGCAGACCAGGAGATGGCCACACAGCACGAGGCTGCGGGCCAGCAGTGTTCACACTCCGCAACTTCTCCTCAGTGCCATCTACTCTGTCAATAATCTCTTAATCTAGCATATGAATCACTGAAAGGGAAGGAAGCCCAGCAGGCTGTATGTAGGCAGAGGCTCCCTTCTGGGAAACAAAGCCAGCAGTGCTGAAAGCAGGATATGAGCCATGGGGAGAGGAAAAATCTTATTTTCATGTAGTTGTTAGCTAGGGGTTTTTTTCTTTTCTTTTGCAAGCTCATGATGCTTTCATAATAAAGGGTTTGTCATAGTTGTTGCTGTTTTTAAGACTGGCCTCTAAGAACTGAACTTTGATTGCATCTCTTAATGAATGAATGCAGAGATGCGCAAGGGAGAGTCTAGCCCTCCTGATACAATGGTGACTTGTCTGGGAAAAGTAACAAAGCTGAAGAAAGACTGTGACTGCAAGTGGGCTGAGCATAGACACGTCGCCTAGTCCTAACAGCTTAGGAGAAACAGGTGTGACACAGGTGGCAAGGCCATCAAGCACCACGCAGGAGAGAGAGAATCTGAGCTTGAGACCCATGTTTGCAAATGGGACCTTCCAAGCTGCTCACCTGGCTTTTGCTGCTTCTTTATGGGACTGAGTTGTGACCCCTCAAAAATTCACATCTAAGTCTTCACCCCAGAATCTCAGAATGTGGCTGCATTTGGAACTAGTCTTTAAAGAGGTAATTTGGTTAAATGAGGCCAAATGTGTGGGCCCTAATCCAATCTGACTGCTATTTTTACCAGAAGATAACAGAAATAAAGAGTCACACACACAGACACACAGACACACAGACACACACACACACACACATGCGCGCAAGGCTTAATCTCACACAAGAACATGACCAGGGAAAGGAGATGTTTTTCCAGAAGAAGAATCAGTAAAGAAAGGTGAATGAGCAACAGAAGAAGCGTTCACTCAGGCTGGCAAGAGAATTCCATCCCTTGGGCAGGTAAATCCTACCTGGGTAATGGGAAGATACAGTCCAGTCGGCAACTGTACTTTTACTGCCAGTCAATGAGCATTCTGGTTTTGTCAAGAGAGGGGAGAGTCAGACCCCGGCCTGCACAGAGAGACAAGACACACAGACAAAGAAGGCCACAGGGAGAAAGTGACCACCTACCAGGCAAGAACAGAGGTCTCAGAAGAAGCCAACCCTGCCGACACCTTGATCTTGGACTTCCAGACTGCACAACAGTGAGACATTCCATTTCTGCTGTTTAAGCCTCCCAACTGTCATTTTGCCATGGAGGCCTAGCAAGCTGACATGCTCTGTGGGTGAGTCTCTTCTCATACCGAAGACTTTTGTTTTCTACTTGCAAACCCATCCATCTTTCCCTTATGGCTTCTGAACAGGTTTTATAAGGAAGTCTTGATTGGAAAGGATTTTGCCACCCCAATATTATTAAGATATATCCACAATGGCTTCTGATACTCTGACCATTTTTGTAGCTGTTGTTGCCACTCTTGTGTTGTGGAGCTTGTTCTGTTTCACCCTTTGCCTGCGACATATTTCTGTAATTTGAGTGTGATTGGGCTCTAAATTGGGTTTTTCTTCACCAAAACAATGATAATCTACTCTTTTTCCAGCTTTATGGAGGCAGGGTTGACAAATATCTCCATTATTTTTATAATCATGAAAATTATGTTAAAATTGTGTTACAGAAGTCTGCTTTTGGTATAGGAAGATGTTCACGAGATACATTTAGATGAAAAAGTTAATTATTTAAAATACACAGTTTTGGGAGAAATCAGTTATATGTACTTTATAAGTACTACAAGTTTATGGAAAGTATGTACTATATTATTAATAACAGCCTTGGGTGGTGGGGTTTTTTTAATGCCTTCAGTATTTTAATTGTCTTCAATAAATATGCATTTCTTAAATAATAATAATTCAAGTAAACTCCTACTGTGTCCCGGTGATCCACTACGTGCTGGGCAGCTGGTAAGAGAGACGGACTCATTCAGAATGACTCGCTTTAAGATCACAGGGACCTTGAGCAAGGTACTTGATTGATTGACTGATTGACTGATTGACGCTGGGGGTCAAACCCAGACCCTCCCATATACAAGACCAGTGCCTCCCACTGCATTGTACCCTCACGCCTGGAGGAAGTTAAATCTCTTCTAATTTAGTTTCCTCCTGTGTAAATGGGGGTAAAAAAAAAGTCTCCCTCTTATGGGGCTACCATGATGTTTGGTGGGCATAACAAGCACTCCGTCAACAATACCAGAATTTTTCTTGGAAATACAAAGAGAAAACCCCAGGGGTAGCAAGAGGTGTGAAGGCAGAAAGAGGAGGCAATGCCTGCCCTAAACAGAAGCAGAAGATACCTCGTAGGTGTGGGTGACAAGGTGTAGTCAAGGGGGACAGGAAATGAAGTCAAGCTGGGTCTCAAAAGCTCTCTACTCTGGGCCTGGCATCTTGGCCTTTGCTCTGTGAAGTCCAAGGAGCATTCACGTCACGGAGCTTTGTACCAGGACACTGATGCTATTACTAAAATTCTACCCAAACTACCATTTATGAAAACATTTTTCCAAACGCAGTCCCCAAAAGGGTTCACAGGGGCTGAAAAGTACTCTTCACCACCATGAGAACAGGGCCACGATGTCACCACGGCCCAGAGCAAAACCTGGGGACACTGCCACCAGCCGGCCCTGCAGAGAGGGTCCAGGGGGCAGCAGGGTCCACTCCCATGCCAGGGAACAGCCATGAGCTGCCTCCATCCCTCATACTGCCCTGAAATAGCCTGGGCAGAGAGGATGATTTTCTCCCTTTCTTTTTAAAAGAGACAGCCCAGGGCAGTTCTCATACCTCAGCTGCCCCATGTAGGGAAGGGGCACTGGGTCCCCGGGGCTCTGAAACTGGCAGCTCACAGCAGGGCTTGGAAAATCAGTCTTTCTCACTGAAGCTATCCAAAGTGCTGAGACCGTGACACAAAGCCACAGTACCAAGAGCGCACCAACAGTCTTCCGCGGCACGGCACAGAGGATGAAGGTCTCCTCCTTCCTTTCCTGGTGCAGAAACCCCGGGATCTACTTTTTAAGGGGAAACATGTTGGATGCTGCTGTGGAGGTGGATTCCAGAGAATCCTGATGCTCTCTGCAGACAGGCCCAAACAATAGCCACCCTCCAAAAACATGTCTCTACTTTCCAGTAGAGACTGTGGATGCAATAACCTCCTTAGTGTCTCTTCTCTCAGAGCAGCGACGTAGGACGGTGGTGAAGACAACACACCTATGTTCAAGTTTAGGATGCATCAGTTTTGGGTATCATTCTTACCTCCTCAGGCCTCAATTTTCCCACAAAATACCCTAAGCCAACAGAGTTACTGAAGACTGACTCAGATAGTGAAGGGGTTCTCCAGGGTTCTCGTAATCCCACAAGCACTCCATGGAAGTTACCTACTATTATTTAAGCAATGTATAATAGGAAAGGCACAGCTGCTGGAAAACAGAAGTCATGAAACTTAGCTTCTTCCCTAATCTATTTGTTTTAAAATTTTGCCTTTCTCTGAAATGAATGTTTGGAAAAAGTCTTCAAAATTTTAAAACAAATTGTAAGAAATTAGGATATCTCTATCTCTTTCTGAAAACAAATGTTCCAAAACATAACCCTAACAGAAACTGGCCAGCCAATGACAAATGTTTTTGTTACTATTCCTGGTTTTTCCATCCTGGGGGAAATGAGGAAGAAGCCAAACTCTCAGTCGACAGCAGGGGCAGTGGGCAGGTTGCTGAAGTAAGAAGGACTAAGGCCTGGAAGCAGAGAGAAAAATGGAGGCTGACAGCCTGGATTTCCAAGAAGCTCGAAGGTCACACAGAAAATGGACTTGGGCCTAACCAGTCAAAGTAAGGCTCACAAGGGCTAAGGAAGTTTCCCAGGGGATCTCTGCCCAAGGGACCTTCAAGAAGATCCTTCAAAATCATCCTGAAAATTTTTCACAGCCAAACTGGGGGGAAAAAAGTCACTACATGCTAATGGTAATAAGAATCCTACACACACACATACACACACACTCCACCAGTACACACACAGTGCATACATTTAAACCAAACATTAAGTCACTAGATTTCACAAGGCAGTTTTTCCCCTTCAAAATAATGGGGATGTATTTTCATTTAAAAAACTCACAGAACCATAAAATATTAAACACTCTTAAGTCTACATTGTAGACCTAACCTTAAGTGACAAGAATAAAATAGCACAGAATCAAGGCTGTTCTAGAAATTCTGGGCTACTTGTTATACTGACTGATCAAAGGCCAAATCATCTCTTCCTCTCTACTTCAAGTGAATCCGAGGAGGAAGACTTAATGTGAGGAAATGATTCTACTTGCTGTTCAAAGAATTCTCTTACAAGATATACAATCCCTTTAGAGTTTCCCAGGCAGCTGCTAGGGTTACTAAGGAAGTGGTAGAAACAGAAAATATTCTAAATAAATAATTAATGATTTCTGAGCAGCAGGTTCTGTAGGTATTTTTTCCAGGATTTAATATCTTGAGTACAGAGACCGGTGATGTCTTTTTCTTGCTCTCCTTCCTCTCCCTCTCTTTTTCCTTTCCTGTCTTTCTTTTCTCTGAGTTAGAGGAGAGATGTGAAATCGTCATGAAGTGAGAGAGAAGACAGTGCTACTGCGCTGCTCTGGGGATCCACTGTGGAAAGACACAGCAAGCCACCCAGGTCCTCTATCTGCACGTGGGCCAGTGGAACTCTCAGGGTGTCTGATTTATTCAGTTGTATTTCAGCAGAAGATTGCATCTGAACAGAAGTCTTGAAACAGACATCTGTTGTTTTGGCATCAGCATCCATTTCTTTTCTTTGATAACCATATCCTGGTTTTGCTCTGGGAAAAGGCCCTGTGTCTCCTCTTCTCTGCCTCCAGAAAAACCTACTCCTGCCTCTGATCCAAAGCCACGGTGCAGGGAACCTCACACATCCCTGGCAACAAGGACGCTTGACAGATGTGTGCACAGCCCTTAACCCCTAACAATCTACAAGAAAGCTTCCGCAAAAGCTTCTGGGATAAAGATGGGGACTTCTTCCAATTGCATGTGGGAAAGGTTAATCAGGCCGGCACTTACTTTACATCCACACGGGAGGAGTTTTGAGAATGCAGCAACCACCTCAGAAGGAGAATCCAGAAGTAGGAATCTGCTGCCACTAAGCCCTAATGAAGCTATGCATTTCTTTAAAAGGCCCCTCCATCCCCACCAGGGATTTCTCAGATACATGACTCATTGAAGTGCTTGTTGATTAATGCTTGGTTCAGATTTCACCTGGGATCTCTGAGCGTTAGAACCAGAAGGATCCTCACCAAGTTCTAAAGTTGAAACTCAGTTTCAAACCACTGGAAACTATTTTCTTTAAAGGTGCTCTAACATACTGGATTTGGGGCGTTTCTCTCTCTTGGTGGATGAGAGGTGAGGAGACTGGAAAGAGGCTACAATCTCAAGAAATTCTAAGAGTCTTTTGAAACAATGACCCACAAGAGACTGGGAACCAAGAAGCACTGAACAAGCTCACTATGTGTGCTAAATAAGGAAATCAGTGGCTCTGGGCAAGGCCATTGGGGTTGCTAGTGGACCCTGACATGCAATTTTCAGATTCTAAACGATAACGTATCCATCCGACACTGGGTATATGATTTATGTTTTCTAATATTAAGTGCCTTAACACCCATGTACGGTAACACGGTATTTTCATTGTTTTTCACATTGTGATAGTCACAGGAGTACTAGATGGGAAAAAAGTGCCACCTGCCGATACTCTTTCTGTATCAGAACAAAAATGAAGACATTGCCTCTGAAGGGAGTAAAGAAAAAATAAAACCCAACTACATCTGAGTTTGTTTTAAACATGGCTCTTTATTATCTATTTTGGTATCTGTATATTGTTTTTCTAAAAGTGGGTCTTTTATTATTACCTCTCATTTTAGGATTTAGGGATAAAATATGCAGGGTTAATCCAGGATGGAAAGAGCAAGGAACCACTCAGGCCTTGTGTCTCTGGAAAGGTGAACTTGGGACTCAGCTGATGGCAGAAAACCACCACCTGGTGGCAGTGTACATAAATAACAGGGCCAGCTGAGAGTCACAGGCACCTCTTTCTTCAACTGAACACAGCAACATGAAGGTCATTTTGACGCACCAGATCACTACCAGATCTTGTCTCCAGAATGGGGGAATTAGGAACAAGGAAACTAACACACAAGAAACCTGGGTGGGGGTGCAGTAACCATGGAATGTAAGCATGTATCCATGGCAACACTGTCATCTACCAGCATGTTCTAATGAGAGGAACTCTTACCACCAACAGTATACAAAGGTGAGCCCAGGTGGTACAAGAAAAGCCCACAGTGAAGATAAGAAGGTTAAGCAGAGACCTGAGCGAAGGAAGGATATAAGCCACACAATTATCTAATGAAAAAGAATTATAGGGAGAGGAGCAACAAGTGCAAAGACCCTGAGGCCGGGCCGTGTTTGGCTTCTCAGGTACAGCAAGGAGGCTACTAGTCCAGCTCAATCAGAGGAGCAAAGAGTAGGCCAATGAATGTCTCACAAATACCGGGAAGGGTCAGATACTGTAGGGGTTTGGAGGTCAGAACTCAGAATATTTTCTTCTTAAAGGCAGGTCTGCTTCACCTTCTGAAAAGATAACTTTCTTCAGTTGCTGAGTGAACAGCAGGCAACAGAGAGGCAAGCACCCCAGTCTAGTGCAGCAGCCTGAAAGGCAGATGGGGACCCTGCCGAGGTAAGCAATCCAGAGGCATGGGTGCGCAGACAGACAGACAGACAGACAGAGTGCTATCATCTACATAGCCATGTATGTATGCCGATGCATGTACATATATGTATACACTGAAACATACACACATACACCGGCATGAAACACACTTGCAGTAATTATACAGTCTTCACAGATACAGTCAACACAGGTGGACTTAGAATTCCTGGCTTTTTAGGTAACCAATAAGAAGCTGTTGGCAGAGAGAAGACAAAGAGCCACAAGAGAAAATTCGGTATGCAGTAAGTATTATCTGAAACTTTATGCTTAAAAAGCATCTACAAGGGTCATATCCATGACTAGTTGAGAAGACATGAAACTCCTGATATCAAAATACTCTACTGGAGAACTTGGCAAATTGTGCATGTTCTTCTAAAATATCCTAGGATCTCCTGAAATTGATCTGTGTCCCAACTGGAAAAAAAAAATTCAACTCATTTCCTCCTTCCACATGGATTCAACCCTTGATGAGAGAAAAAAGCAGAGAAGTGCTGTGACCATGCCTGTGCTGGCTTCTGAAGCAGAGACAGCTGACTGTCCAGGCTCACTCTCCAGCCTTCTCAGGCACAGACCCCTCCCCAGCGTCGTCCCGGACTCCTGCACTCCTGGATGCGGCCACACAGCTCAACCCTCACCGCAAGAGTCAGAGTGTGCATTATGGGCTAACTGATGCCTCTTCTGCCCTCTTGTCCTACTGGCTGGAACGCGGTGGGGTGGGGTCCCATCTCTGATCACGCAGGAAAGGGAATCCCTTTCAAGCAAGAGCTCTCAACTAAGGCAGTGTGAGGTCTCCAGGGCATGTCTGGCAACGTCTGAGGCCACTTTAGTCTAAAAATCCAAAGGAGGCAGCACTACTGCTTGGCATACAACCAGCAGCACCCAGAGAGGTTAGTGAAAATCCTACCCAAGGACAGGACAGCTCCTCTCTCCCTCACCACAGGACTGGCCCATCCAAAGTGGCAACAGTGCTGAGACTGAAAAGCCCTGCTCCAACACAACAACGTTTCTCAACTTCGTGCATAATAATTACATGTGTGTCCTCCCCAAATGCAAATGCTGCGGCCGACAGTTTGGGATGGAATCTGAGGTTCTTCTTTTTTATTTTTATCTTTTCTGGTACTGAGGATTGAGCTCAAAGCCTTTACACTGACCTACATCCCCAGCCCTTATTTATTTTTTTATTTTGAGGCAGAGTCTCACTAAGCCACTAAGTTACCTGGGCTGGGCTGGGCTGGGACTTCGGATCCTGTAGCCTCAACTCTGAGTGCTGGGATTTCAGGTGTGTGACACCATGCCTGGCTGACAGTCTGCATTTCTAACGGGCCGCTTCAGGGGTTGTGCAGCCACAGGCTGGGAGGGGCTCCGGTCTGAATGGCCTCACAGAGCACAGCTGCCCCATCTAAGGTGTGCATGTGGGACACTCGAGTTCCGTTTCCAGCCTGGGTTCCCTCTGCGGGGCCATGCGGCAGTGATGGCTCCATATCACGACCATCAACTCTCATGACGTAGGACAGAAGTGACCTGCTATCTTATGTAAGTACCGGTACATGTTACCATCTACAAATAGTGGCTGTCTACCTTATGCTCCACTCCATCTCTTTGGGAAAGGATCTGGAGAACCCTGGAAGTGATACTTTCTTGAAGAGAAAGAAAAAGTATGAGCAAGAAAAGAACCAAGATGGTAACTACTAGAGACATCTAAGTATATTAGCTTCCCATGCTGCTGCAATCAGCAATCACAAGCTTAGTAGCTTAGCACAATACAAACAGACCATCTTACAGGTCTAGATATCAGAGGTCGGAAATGAGTCTCCGTGGATTAAAACAAAAGTGTCCGTACAGCTGTGTTCCTTTAAGTAGGCACCGGGGAAGAATCCATGTCTGCCTTTCTTTCCCTAGGAAGCTGCCTGCATTCCTTGGCTCCTGGCCCTTCAAAGACAGTGACAGTTCCCTGAGTCTTTATCATGCTGCTGTCTCTCCGGGCTCTCTTTGCCATCTTCCACTTGCAAGATTCCTGTGATTATGCAGGGTTCATCCAAATAATACAGAACACTCTTCGCCTTGAAGTCAGCTGTTTAGCATTTAAAAATCATAATTCCATCTGCTATCTAATTCCCCTTTGCCACATTAACATATTCCCAGTTTCCAGAGATTAGGTCATGGACATTTTAGGGAGATTATTATTCTGCCTCCCAAAGAAGGTTAAAAACAGGTTAGAAAAACCACCTGAAAGTGGAAAGTGAATTTGTCAACCTGGAAAACACAGCAGGGGTTTGCAGGAAAGAGAGATGAGAGACAATTGAGAGAATCTTCCAGTCACTTCCAAAGCTCACCAAGTGCAGGGCAGTCCCAGGAAGCCAGCATGCACTGCTGCTTTTCATGTCACTTCAGTATAAAAGAACAATGCACCAATGGTTGAGTCAGGTGAAAGACGTATGCAGAACGAGGCTGTCCATGATTATCCGGGACTCTATGCAGTCTGCTCTAAGAATATTTGATATCCATGCTATATAATAGTTTCTGTAAATTAAACCTCTTAATCTAACTTTATGATAAGAGTTCCTGTCCTGTATTTCAGGTACTCCCTGGAGCGCAACATCCCACAAAACCAATTACCTAGAGGAATTCAAGAGAACGTGCATGGATTAGTAACAACTCATATAAGTGGACCAGGGAGTTCCCAGCATACAGTCATTATTCTATCCTTGCAAAATCACTATGGAGCTCTGAGGGGTTGCTACTCCCATTTTAGAGATCAGAAAACAGAGGCTCAGAGGCGGAGTACTTGTCCATGCATGCAAAGCAAGATAGGTGCAAAACTCAGACTCATAATTTCTGATTCTAGGTTCAGCTTCCTTTTCAAAACACCATGTAGGGGCCGTGGAACCACACCAGTGGTTCCAGCGCCTGCTTCGCAAGCGCAAGGTCCCGAGTTCGATCCCGGTACCAAAAAAATCAAAAACCACCATGTAGGTCCAAACAGTCCCACTGTCTATGACAGAGCAGCAGAGCAGTTTGACTCCGTGTTTCCTCAGCACCATGGGCTACCAAGCTTTACCCACCTACAGAGCTTTCAACCGGGAGGCCCAGGGTGGACAGATGCACTACATCTACTGAGGGGGACACAAATCAATGTGGGGATTCTGTGGGGCTGATTACTAAGGCAATTATGTAACCTTGATAATGCACTGAGAGACACATAATCCAAGCTATTCTTGGAGCATATGATGCACCAGAAATAATTTTGGTCTTCTCCCTACAGCAACAGAGGCCAGGAACCAAAAGCTGTGTCACAACAGAAGGACATCTGGCTCATGACAGCCTGCTGCTGTGTGATCTTGGGAATGTCACTTGCCCTTCCAAAGTCTCTATCTCTCTGTAACACCGGAATGAGAAAGTATCTGCTTCATAATGCTGTGGCAAGGAATCCATGATAATGTCCTGCACTACATGAAAGAACAGATGGATTCCACCCTTGCTTTTACATAGTTTACCTTCTAGTGAGGGCAGTGTGTAAGGAAGATGACTCTGGAGAAGCATACATGCTCTGAAGAAAACAGAAAAGCAGCTTAAGAAGGTTAAAAATGGAAGAGTGTCTTTAACTAGGTCACTGGGAAAGGTCTTCTTGAGAAGCTAAAGTCTGAGACAACATTTGAAGGATGGATAAGGAGATACCAGCAATTTAGAGTCCAAGGACAAAGTATTCCGGGAGAATAAAAAGGCCCTCTAGTGGGAATGAGCTTGGCACAGTCCCCAAACAGAAAGCTGGGTCCACAGTATGTGGCTAGCACAAGACTCCTGAGTTCCCTTGTCTTATGCATGGCCCAGTCCATAGGCCCCAGGGAAATCAAAAACAGGGAGATGCTAACTCGCACTATCTCTTCCCAGGAGGCTCCGAGGCAAATAAAGGAAGTGCTGAGAGTCTGAGGCCACGCACCTGGGTCTGAGCTCACACTCCACATCTCAATCAAGTTTTGTCAAATCCCATGCCTCAGTTCCCCCTCTGGTCCAGTGTGGGTAACAACCGTCCCTAGCTCAAGAAGTTCTCAAGAGGACTGAGTCCATTAGGCTCCTGGAACTCAGTCCAGCACAAGTAAATACAACATGTATAGACCAGCACTCCTGTACTACTACCTCTATGTCCGGTCTTTCCAATCCAACTCAAAATAACCAGTTTGCCCCTGATTTGCTTTTTTTCTTTGTTTTGCTTTATTTTAAGACAAAGTCTCACTAAATTGCCCAGGTTGGCTTTGAACTTGCTATCCTCCTGCCTCAGCCTTCTGAGTAGCTTGGATCACAGGTGTGTGCCATCACACTGGACATGTGATTTGTTGTTTGCATTGGAACAACATGAGTACATCTATGTTTAGTAATTTATACCAATTCAACTGTTAATCTGCACCTTCACTGTGACCCTACCATGCCAAATTTTGGGTACAGGGCAGTCTGTGCCCTGTAAGGAATCATGATAATATTTATAATTGTCTTACCACCCTTTCCTCTGACCAATGAAATGTGAAAATTCAGGAAATTTTATATAAAAAGTACAATATTTTAAAAGGAAATCTTATATATGAAGTAGGACATTTTGGTCATGTTTATATAAATGGTATTTTTTAGACCACTCTCAAGCACACTTGACCTCAGTTTAGGCAGCAAAGAATTAACAAACGAAAATAAACAGGGAATAGAGGTAAAGAAAGGAGAAGGGAAGGAAAAGAAATAGTTCCCTCGGGCCTTCTTGTATAGCATGAAAATTTTCTTCCTCCAAGTCCTTGTAAGAAGGATTACAGGTAAAATTACTCCTCGTTATTTTGACCTCTGAATTAACCTTTGATTCTATAAAAAGAATATTTTCCCTGTTATATTTTCAAACTAGCTGGTACAGGAATAAGGAAAACAATAACTCTTGTGTAGCCATTTCCTTACCAGCCTCCTTAATGATTTATTATTCTTTTTAAAAGATTTATGGGAAGATTGATTTTCTTAGCTTTTCTAAAAAAAACCTGAAATTCCTTGGAAATAGTAATAATCTACCTTCCCTTTTCTTCTTTTTCTGATCTGACTGTATTATCTGATACGTAATTCCTGAACAATGCTAAAACGTAGTGATATAATAGGGATTCTTATTTTGTTCTGGATTTAATGAGAATTCTGGTGTCGTATCACAACACTATAAAGATACTGCTGGCTTGGGTACATTCCTATTTTCTTAGTAGGTTGCTCCAAAAATTAGGAATTGATATTTATTTTTATCAAACATCTTTTTAGCATCCATAAAGTAAATCCGTTTTCTCATTTGTTGATATTAACAATCACACTGAAATTTCTCAAGATTGAACTATCTTTCCATTCCTGAAGTAAATTCTCCTTGGTCTAAGCTTACACTACTTTGTAATGTAATCACTATGTCTACTTCTACTCTCTGTAAGCTTTTTCACATCGTTGATCATGATTCCTTCAAGTTTGAGCCTAGCATACAGAACACAGCTGACAAGGCATGTTAATGAATAAATGAAAAAGTGAATTAACAAGAATGCTGAACCTCCCCAAATAATCCTGTGCACCTCTTCCCGGTTAAACACCGCCCTGGAGAAGTAACATGCCTGTGCCAGGGTGGGTCGTTATGTTTTCCAGACACCTGGTTTAACTGGCCCCAGCTTTCTTAGGAGTAGAAACCTGGAACCCCTGTTTCCCTGTGGGGAAACTATTTCCTGTGGTTTTCCATGAGGTTAGCCCTGCTTCTTTACTGCAGCACCATCCCAAGCCACAGGGCTGGTGCATCAGCAAGGCCTGATTATCACAGCACTGTCCAAGTACTGCTCTGGGGGTGGACACGGGTCCCAACCGGGCCACAGGCATCTCCAGGAGTTTCACAAGGAAGCTCTCAAAACTCATGTCCTAAAGAACCGATCAGCAGAAAATATGCTTGTCTAGGGTTCCCGCTTAATACCTTGACTAAATGTGGTCTCCAAAGAGGGCAAAGTGAAGGCAACATGGCAGAGAAAAGAAAAAGGCAGAGTGGCTAGGAGACATCGTCTGAGCCTCTGGATTCAGCTTTTCCTGCAGTTGTTACACAGACTGCTCAATCAAATAAGCCAATGAAATATCTTTCTGTTGTTTATAATCAAGCTCTATCATTGGCAGCATATATATACTCTGTATATAATACATATACAATACTATATATATATATATGTGCACAATGATATATGCCTTAGTTCACATGTTGCTTTGTTCCTTAGTGAACATGCTTTATATATGCTTAAATAAAGATCAGAATAATTTCAAGGCTGGGGATACAGCTCAGTGGTAGAATGCTTACGTAGCACACATGAAGCCCTGGGTTCAATCCCAGCACCACAAAAGAAAGAAAGAGAGAAAGGAAGGAAGGAAGAAATGAGCTAAGGGCAATCCTGACTGGTGAATGTAAAAAAAAAAAAAAAAATTCAACTGCCTACTTTTAATTGATGGCAATTGGCTGAAAGGCTCCCTTCATGAATTATAATTTTAGATTGAAACTCCCAAGACAGCTACAGAGTAGCTTGTTAAACTGCAGAAACCAACCAAACTGGAGAAGGCTTCTTTCCGGGGTGGTAGTTCAATCCCTCCAGAGAGATCATCCATTATGCAAAACCCAAACCTTTAAAACTTTCAAATGCACAACTCAAGCAATCTTTCATTCACCTAAAGTCTCGAGACCTCTTTCCTGACTCGATATAAAAGTAAAAAATGCCTGGCATGAATTACGAAAATAAAAAATAAATCAGGTTAGGGTGGCAGGAGAACAGTGCAGTCGGCCAATTCTCAGGCTAGGGAGCGAGACTCAGTCTTCCCAAGCAACCCTGCACCCCCACTGCTCAGTCCGAAGAAAAACCAAGGGCCAGAGGCAAGTCCCCAGCACCTGAGAGCCTCTGGACCTCCCAGGGCAGATGGCAGTGGCTCCCAGGAAGCGCGTGGCCTTGAGCAGGCCCAAGAGCCTGGCTACTTCCCCACCTGCTCCCTGGGCAGAGAATTCAGGCTACAAATGGTATCTCAAGAAATCAGACTCTTTTCCTCCTTCAGCTCCAGTGACAATAAACCAAACTCTGGAATCCAGTTGTGATTAGTCTCTGAAGGGCTATTTAAGAACTGTTTCATGGCTTCAAATCCCTCATTCAGATGTAATCTTGAAATAAAAGGCTATAGTCAAATGAAAAATGCATTACAGCTTTCTCTTTAGGGTCCTCCACATTGATGGGCAGGATGTTAAAGGAAAATGAAGGAGGAAAGCAAGGAAGAAAGGAAAAGTGGGAGAGACAGAAGACTGCATGAAGCCCTGGAAATGACATCGCATTTCATCCTCACGTAATCCTGGGGAAGGAGGTAATACTGACCCCATTCTGCAGACAGAGAAATTCAGATGCTGATGTTAAGTCTTGGTATAACGTGCAGCACATTCCAGCTAGAGATACTAACATCTCCAAGCGATGTTGCTTTTACTCTACTAGATTCCTGTGTCTGAAGGGTCTCATACCGAAGTTTATTCTAGAATCAAAGTATTTCAGTGGATAAATGGACCCTACGGTATAATATGGCCTTATCAACTAAGAGAGAGAGAGAGAGAGAGAGATTAATGTAACTGACACCCAATAGAACTAAGCAAAGCCTAGGGCCCATTCTTTTTACCTCTCAGGTCTTCGTCCACCTGACCAGAACCTGTTTTATAAATTCAAGTTAGCTATACAGATCTATCATGGGCCCTTGTGATTCATGAGTGAAAAACAGAGAATTTTCCTACCTCCGGGGGAATGTTAATTGGGAACAAAAGGGAAATTTATTTGTGAAAGTTTCCCTATCTGCTTCAGCGTTGCTGTTTATATCAAGCTCTTTTTGTTGTTGTTGCAATATATCTGGGCAGTATTTCCCCCAGGCTGTTACAGAAATCTGTAAAAGGGGAAAAAATACTAAACCAATACAGCACACGTAAGCTACGATTCTGGCCACAGCAAAGGGCACAGGCTTTGCCAGTTACTTTGTGAAATGAGTTTAAACCAGAGGTCGCAGACTGGTCTCCAGCTGGCTGTGTCCAGCCCACAGATGGGTTTCGTTTCTCCCACACTGTTGGCCCACACAGTGCTTTTAAGAAACTAAAATCTGTGGCCAACCAGAAAAACCAGGATATTTCACATCAAAACCTGGCCTTCCAGTTCCCCTCGCTAAGTGGGAGAGTTGTTAACCCAGATGCGATGCGGAAGTTCCCTCTGCGCCCTGGAGGGAGGGAGTCCCTGAGGAGGGCAGGTGCTCTGCAGACCTCCTCTCCAGTCTATCCCACTGGTCTGTATGATCCGCATGGGCCAGGGTCCTTAGGGTCTGTGCCCCTTGGTTTAGAAGATTGAGCAGATCCAAGATGCAAAGCCAATCATTACTGAGCCTTCCCCAGACCATCCCAAATAAGACAAGTCAGTCAAAAGTAACATATCTGCAGTAGATGGTCAGGCACACAAGAGACCAAAATAATGTGAGAAATGGAAAAACTGAGTAGTCAGGTCCATTTGGATTTCTGCTGTAGGATATCCACTCTGTTCAGAAATATACTCACTTTATTATTTCATTTATTCCTCTCAACAATCCTGTAAGAAAGAAATCACTCTTGGATAAGCAAATGAAGCTAAGTGATGTTGATTAATTTATCCAGCTAGTAAGTTATGATGCCAGGCTTTAACCCACTTTCATGCAGCTGCAAAAACAGTACTTTTAGAATAATGAATGAACACTCTGTAGAGCCACCTTGTTTCCACCTCAGGACCTTTGCACTTGCTAGTCCCTCAACGTGGAAACCTCCCCTGTCAGATTTTTACATGGGATGATCTTACTCTTTCTGCTTCATTTAAATCACCTCTACAGACAGATTTTTCTCTAATTACTCTGGTTAAAATAACTCACATGTGGCCAGGTGCACACACACGCACACACATTCACCCCAGTCACCCTCAAGCAGCAGTGGGGGCTAAGTGTCCAGCCCTCAGCTTCTCAAAGTGAAGTCACAGCACTGGCAGCAATAACAGCAGTGGGGATTTCTTAAAACTCACAATCTCAAGCCCTCCAAGACTGGCTGAGTCCGAATCTGGCTGTTCACAAGATCCCAGGTGATTCGCGCATTCTCGCCGTTTAAAAGGCATTACACTACACACCCACTGTCCAACAGAGATGCAATGTGCCTCACAGGCGTACTTCTAAATTTTCTAGTAGCCACATTTTAAAACGTTTTGAAGAGTAAAATTAACTGAATAGTGTTTGATTTAACTTACAAGTTACTCACAAAGCGATATTATCATTTCAACATAGAGTCAATACAAAAGTGCTGAGGAGCACTTCAGCATTAAGTGTATTTTATACTTCAGGCACACATCAATTTGTACATCTCACATACAGGAATCAAGCACCCTATGCAGACAGCAGCTACCATACTGGACAAATGAATGCTGGGCCATCAATTACTTTATTCTTCCTTTATAGACCTTATCACAACCAGAATTTTTACTATGTATCATTTGGCTAATTTTTTCTGTCTCCCCGACTCTCCTGCTAAAATTTCCATTCCAGGAGAACAAGTGCTTCGTCTATCTTATTCACCACTTTATCCTCAGTACTTAAAACAGTACTGACTACATGGTCGATATTTATGAGATACTGAGTGGATGAACAGATGAAGAAAGGATATGGTCTTCCTGGCACTCAAAGTGTGTCAATGCAGCATGGGCAGGTGTAAAAACAAAGCACTTTGAAACTGGGCAGATGTAGGTTCAAGCTTCAACTCAGACACTGACCAGCAGAGTGGCCCTGAGCAGGCCACTTACACTCCCAAAATAATGGAAACGCTGAGTGCAGCTCACAGCGTCATCGTGACCCAACCAGACCCGACCCTCCTGCGCGCACCTGGGAGGTGCCAGCCCCGCACAGCAGGCACCCATGAATGCAGCGCTTTGCCATCCGCCCCTCCTTCTCTCCCAGACGCCCGGTGTGAACACTGCTGTTGACACCAACCTCTTCCCTCTGGGTATCACAAGCAGGAATTTTCTGGGCATCTTCCAGGGTTCCTTCCCCTCCTGGGTGGAAGGGGCCCGGTTAACTGTTGACAATGAAGGGAAAACCCTGAAGGAGCATGTCCCCTCGGCCCGGAGCCGAGAGGTTTTCAGGACTGCAGCAGTGACAGTTTCTACACAGCCCATGAATCGGGAGGGAGGAAACCACTCCTGCTCTGTCACTTTGGTGAGTGTGTAGGGGCAGCCAAGAGGCCTGCCCCAAGGTCCAAACCCTCAGGAGATTTCAAGGTCCGTGCCAGGAAAACTTGCACTAGCTCATACAAAAGGTGGTGGCAGCTTTTCCCTTTCCTGGAGAGGGACAGGAAGGCAGGGGTGGAGGGCTTAATCTACCCCGATTTATTAATCGCTGACATATGTCAATCCACCCAGGGAGGCTTCCTTCTCTGAAGCCTTAACACATACTCTAATCCATTAGTCAATGTTGCCCTGCAAATCTGATGCACATGTTCTAATCTCAAATATGTTTTTACATTACTCTAGATCAACACCATCAGAGCAAAGCAAAACCCGGATTTAGCGATAACTGGAGCGACATGAAAGAAATAAAACTGCCGGGGATGTTTAGTGGAACAAGAGGAAGCCCTGAGCCAGCAGTGTGAACAGCAGCCTCGATTTCCTCTTGGCTCTCGGGGTCTCCCCTGCCCTCTCTCTGTAAACAAAATCCAGACACACTTGTGGGACTAGTAGGCTATGGAAAATACATTTAAAATGACAACCGTAAATAAATAAGAGAAAAAAAATCAAAAGCTCTAACTCCTGTGTCTCTGATCAGGTGAAAAGAGTTTGGGTAGTATCCTTAAAACAGGAAGAAATTACCCCTCTCAGTGCGGATGCCACCATTGCCAGGGCTGGATCCCGAATCCAGACAAAAGGCTGCTGTTCCTGCTTTGAATCAATGCCACTGTTTCTCTTTCTGCCGTGAAGTGGCTGTCCTCCAGTCCTCCTACATGGGAGAAGGGGAGCAAGGGAGTCCTGCACAGACAGGACTACTGACAATTTCCAAATGCCTCCAAAGCACTGTCTGAGACACAGCTGGAGACACCTCAGACCAGGTGCAGCACACTGGGCCCCAGCAAGTCCAAAGGGCTTCTGGGAGTCTTCTCAGCACCCAGGTTTGGTGGCTACGGGTCCCCTCTACACTAAACACACATGTATTAAATGCACAGGAAATTTGTTCTACAGAGTTTCTCCCACTACCTCTTCCACTTCCCATTAGCATGGTCAGGACTCGTGTGCAAGGTGCCGGGGAGGGATGAAAAACGCAGGCATGCTCGGTGGTCCTCTGAGTGAGGACGGGGCACACCTCCTTCGCCGCCCCTGAGGTGAGCAGTTCTAGGGTTGGCTATGGATATCAGCACCAACCCCCAAATACCTCAGCTGCTGGCCAGGGGCAGGAGACTAGGAAGGCCACAGGGCTGAAATAGCCTCAGTAGCCATACTGTGACGGTGCCGTGTTTATATACCTCCTCACCCCAGGCTCAGGGTAAAAGAACAGGAAAATCCAGCATCTTCTTGACTTTCATTCAGAAGATTCTCCAGGCATCACAGAGGAACTTCCGAGCACCAAGCACCCCTCACCAACTTTAGTTCAAATCATTTGGAAGAGTCATGCTTCTCTTTCTAGCGATGGTAAAGCAACCTAACACATGCGAAAGATATGATCTTTATGCCTTCCTCAAAGGGCATTAGACATTTCTCACAAGAGCCGGAAAGAAAAAACCAGAGCTACCCTCATAAGGCCAAAGCCATCGCACAGAAGAAACTAGAACATTCTACAACCAACAATTAAACAGCTGAACCTCCTTCCCAGACACCATACCCCATCTCTATTTTGCTGTTGTTGCATTAATCATCCTAACACCTTTTTAATTATAATCACAAACTGGAAGCCATGGCTTGTGATGTTATAAATACTGATTTTCCAGTTAAATTAGGCATTTACTGTTTTATGTTTTGATAGGAAGGGGCTGTTTGAAGCCTCCTAAAATATTGCAATTAGTTCTGGCTGTTGAAACAGACAAGACATTAACAGACACATTTGCTGTTTCAGGGTAATGTGCTGGAATGTTTATGCCTAAGTGTACTTCTCTGGAGCTTTTAAAGCAAAAGGCATATTTTTAAAAGTGGAAGAAATCAATCACAATCACACATTTGTTCTATATTTCTGAAGTTATTACTAAAACTTTCCCAGGCTGTAATCTAAACCTAGAAAGCACATCTCAACAGGAAGGCATCTGTCAGGGACCAACTCTACCTATTGGCTCTGTACAGATGATAACATCACTTTAGTTGACAAAGGCTATGTTCCTGCTTGACAACTGCAATTAATTACTGAAATGCAATCGAAATGGGACCGCCCTTTCAGATCTGTTTTCCAGAAGATATGGAAAAGGAGAAAGTCAGAAAGGAAGAAGGAGGGTGGGGGCAAAAGAGGTCTGCATCTTCAGCAACTGCACCAACCTTATTTTAAATGTTGTGGCTGACAAGAACACGGGATTATTAATTTAGTTTGCCTGCACTTAACTTTCCAGTCCTTTCTGCTCCCTTCCTCTTACCAGCAGCAGACTGGGAAAGAGACATAAGCTGTCAGGAGAGGGGTGCAGATCAGAAAGAGCAGGCTGTGGGGCACCAACTGTCACTTAGACAAGGGCTCCTGGTGCAAAATCACCCCGTATTCATTCAGCCGTGAAGGACAGAAAGTTACAGAGGCGGGGATCGCCCTGGCCTTATCAGAAAGCCAAAACACCAGTATCATCTTTTTAACAGTTCTCTATTCATTTTGCTCCGACCCTAAAATACTGAAGTTGGATTCCAGCCACACAAATGCGTTTGAGAGCGATTTTGATGGATTCCAAGGGATCTCCAAGCCCCTTCGTCAATCTTGCTGTCCTGTCTCGTCCCTCAGCGTCCCCACCGCAGAATCCCACGGCCCCCAACGAGCCTTGCTTAGGAAGCGCCTCGCAGGTTGGGGCCGGGCCGGGTGGACACAGGAAGCACCTCCCAGAGGAGCCCAAGCCCGGCTGGGTGGCGCCGCCTCCTCAGCTCCCCCTGAGTAAAGTGATCTTTAGCCCAGTCCAGCCCCTCTGCGCTCTCCGAGCAGCCCCGCCTGGACTCGCAGAGCCCTCTCTGGGGCCAAAGAATCACCAGACGGTGCCTGCCGGGTTTCGAAGGGCACCGAAAGCAGCCCCCCCCCCGGTGTACGGCAGGTGTCTCCCCGCCCGCGGGGTCCTACCTGTACCACTCCAGCCCCTTTTCGTAGTTCCTGTCGAAGAAGTGCGGCTCCACGCCCACCGCCCGCACGTCCGGGTGCACTCGGATGGCCTCCAGCAGCGCGCGGGTGCCTCCCTTCTTGACCCCGATGATCAGCGCCTGGGGCAGCTTCTTCTCCCCGTAGTCGGGGGTACTGAGAGCGCCGCCCCGCTCGGCGCTCGCGTTGGCCGCCCTCCGGCCCGCCAGGTCGTCCTCAGGGGTGCTGGACTCCTGTGCGTCCCTCTCCGGCAGCGCGCTCTGCGCCGCGATCATCTCGCCGGGCGCCAGCGGGGTCCGGGGCCAGGCGTCCCGGGCGCCTCCGCCGCCGCTCGCCAGTCCCCAGCCGTCGGCCCCGGGGGCGGCGGGGCGCACGGGGGCCTCGGGCGGCTCCCCGCGGCTCGCGTTGTCCGGCGGGGGCGCGGGCGGCGGCACGGAGGGCGGCGGCGAGCTCGGCGGCTCCTGCAGCGCCAGGGGGAACTGCAGGGAGCCCGAGCCGCCCAGGAGGCTGTAGCACAGGTAGGTGACAGACAGGGACAAGGTGCACATGAAAAGCAGCTTGCGCGCCGGCGGGCCCTTAGCAGAGGAGCCGGGAGGCGGCGGCGCGGCTGGAGGCGGCGGAGGCGGCGGCGGAGGAGGTGCTGGCCACGGGGCCATCGCGGCTCCAGGCTCGCGGCGGCGGCCCCCGGCGC